CATTATTATTAAGCATTTTTTGTTAGCTAACATTTTCTTATTTTGTATTTTATTTTATTTTATTTATATATTTTACATATTTATCATTGCTTGATTTAAATTGAATTCCACAATAAAATAAAAAAAAAAGGAAACTATGGGTACTTCAAAAAAAGAAAATTGCAAAAATTTGACTAAACGGAAAGAAAAAGTGAAGAAATCGTGGAAACTGTTTAATATTTGTAACTTTAACCATTCATTTTGTAGGTAGTAAATGAAAAAAAAACTAGATTTTACTTGTACACCATGGAAACATATTAGTTTAGTGCACTTCCGGTTTCCTGTTGATATTACTTACTTACTTACTTACTTATTACTACCCGGAAATGAATCAAACTTTCAGTTATGTCGTGGCAAATGTCAACACATTGTATTTTATGAATTTCAAAGAAAAATTACTTTAAAATAAACATTGAAAAATAATTATTTACATTGATAGTAACAACTACGTAATAATAAATTTAAATGATGTGATGCACTTAAGATGAGTTACAGTTGTAAAAACGAATTTTAAATTTCATAACAAGTCACTTTTCAAATTTTTATTTCTATTGCTTCTTGGTATGTTTGCATAAATTCTTTAAAGAAAAAAATAAAAGTTTTATTTTAAAAGACCAAAATTAAGAAATGAGACTAGTGGGATTATAGAAAAAAATTCTTATCGTATAATTTTATTGCCTAATTATACTTTTAATTTCAAAGTTATCAAAGCTATACTGAAATCTTATAGTATCAGAATAAAAGCAAAAAATGCATAAATTTGTGAAAAAAGGAAAATTACGGTAAATTTAAACTCAAATTTCACTGATATGATATTTTTTTCAAGCGATTTAAATAATTTTATCCTAAACTATTAATTTTATTATCACTATTAGCGTATACTTAATGAGTTATAATTGCAAAACAAGCATTTTTCACATTTTACAACTTATGTAAATGCGTATTTTATAGATGCAATTAAATTATAAATAAAAAAAATTTGATGGATGCAAAAAAAGTTGCTACAATCTTTTTCTTTTCAAATTTTGAATGCGTCAAAGAAAAAGGTAATAGTTAAAAATTTAAATGAAATCTTTCTTGAGTACATTAAAAATTTTAGTGCAATTCTTTTATTGCAAATTTTTACATCTTCATAATTTAACGAAGCTATTAAAAATTCAACTTTAGTATAGCATTCGATAAATTCTTCCCGTTCCATTTTGGAAAAAAAAAATTCTTGAATAATTCAAGTTGTCCACTGCTATTTCATCTCTGAAAATCGGTTGAAGAAATAAAGGAAATTAGACAAAAGAATGATGCAAGTAATTCAGGGATAGAGAGAGATCAATGTCAGAGGGCAATAATGATATTTAAATTAATTTAATTTAAATTAAAAAGAGAGTCTAACATGATTGAAAGGGTTGATTTGATTGTGAAAAATTAAATAACTGAAAGATTATGAAAAAGCATTATGAATAAATGTAATTAATTAATTTTAAATTTTGTAACTAAGCTTAGTGGAGAAGAAATATTTGTTTCATTTGAAAGTTTCAGTTTTAGTCGAACTTTTTTTTTTAATTTCTTTTTTTTTAATCAATGAACTATGAATTTAAATTATTGTTTAAAGTTCGACTTTGCTTCGATTCCTGCAAATCGCTTATAGTTGCATTATTTTAAACATTAGACTAATGCTTTCAACTTTAAATTAATTGCTTCTAGTTTTTGAATTTTCATTTCGTTCTGAATTTAAGTTCATTTTACAAGAGATTTTTGTGAAAAAAAAAATTTTGGTATATTTAAAAAAAGAAGAAAAAAAAGTGGAAATTTATTTTATATTTTCTCTTGTCAAACAAAAAACTTGGCTGTTGTAAAGATGATTAATTTAGTGGAAAATTCGATTATTTGTGAGGAAAATTTGCAGTTTTAAGATTGCTTACTTTTCACAAAAAGTATTTAAATTGCTGATTTTTTAGTTAAATCATTTAATTTGAGCTTTTTTTTTAAATAATTAATAATCAAAATCATTACTAATTGGATTAATGATAATATCATACATAATCATTTTTTATTTTGCATATAAATTTCTAGTAATAACATTAAATTGTTATACTCGGAATGAACTCAACAAAAATAACTTAACAATAAGACAAAATACCCGCAGTAAACATAACAAAAACAAATCTCTAATTGAATTTTAACAGTAAACATTCTCTAGTATATGCTCACTACTATTAACAGTTTACAAATTTTCTTATATTTAGCAAAAAAATAGCAAAAAAAAAGTATTATTGAAAAATTCAAATTAAAATGCATCATTTGATTCATTGATCATAAAATATGATCAAATTTAAAAAAAAAAAAAATTCCTTCATCACATCGTTAATGTGCTACCGTAGTCATAACAGCGTCGTCACAAACTTTTTGTGTCATTTTAATTCTATGCTCAAAATTGTTTTTTCAAAATTGAAAAAAAGAAGACTCATTGTACTTAGGAATGAATGTTTTGTTTAATATTAATTTTATTACGTCATATCTTGAGAGGACATGTCACAAAATAATTTGTCATCTTGGGAACAGCTACGAAATAATTTGTCGTATTTTGAGGACGGCATGGAATAAATCTCAGATTTTTCTTACTGAAGTTTTTTAACTTCTCACATTTGATATTCATTGTTTTTTTTTTCCTGTTTCTGAAAGAACGCATGAATTTTATCACTAATATCAAACAAAGGAAAAATTTTTATTCTTTTTTCTTTTCCAAAAAGTAAACGTAGCATTATAATTTCAAAACTTTTACTTTTATCATCAATTAAATATATGAAAAAAATTGTTTCATCTTTAACAGTTTTGCTTAGAAATTTACTTTTCAGTTACGAAGAAGTTATTCATGTGATAATGAGATCAAAATGTTTTATTGTTGTAAAAAGTTTAAATTAGTGTGAATTACAATTAGTTGCAAATAATTTTTATTGTTGTTTGTCATTTGAAATTACTAATATTAGCTTTTTAAAAAAACAGAAAGTGGGACTGTCGGAATCGGAAGTAAATATCAGTACCGCTAAAAAAAAAATCACCATTAACTCTTTGTTTCTTCTTCCGCCTATTAATTTTGATTTATCTTATTTCAAATTTATTTTTTATCTGACTTTAGACTCCTTAACTTCATATCAATAAATTTAATTGACTATTGCAATACAGTTGTTAAATGTTGCGTATTTTGGTGGAAAAAAAAAGATAAATTATTAAGCTGAAAGCAAAATATCATAGCTCAAAGAAATATGACAAAAAATTCAAATCATTATTGATTGATAGACGTGGAGAATTGTCGATCATCCAATTTATCGGTTGATTCATAAAATTTTTTCAATTAAACATATTAATTATGCAAATATTTGATATGGATAGATTCAAGGAACATTTAATAATTTATTGTTATTGAAATGTTGATAACAAGAGAAGGAAGAAGAAATAGAAAATATAAGCTATTAAAAGTCTTTAATTAATTTTTTTTCCTGATCGATTTAAAAAATTGTAAATTTTCTTTTAAATACTTCTATGAGTTCGAAGCACAAAAATTCTTCTCAACAAATTTATAAATTTAAAAAAATTCATATATGTTTTTCTCTTGCGTATAAAAATGGGCTAACATATTATTGTGAGATTTATATTATATCGAACCATACAGTATCGATTTAATTCCACTTTTTCCTACAATTAAGAAAAAAAACAAAACAAATTTTACTAAATTTTTGAAAAATACGTGAATTTTATTTTATGAGTAATTCGGCAAATTTACAAGGGGTGTTTGTATCCAAATTTTAATTTAATTTTGATTTCAAACATTTCTATCAGCAAATGAAAATTTTATTACTGTGTTGAACTTTTTAGGTATCTATTGTAATAAATCATCTGATAAAAGTTTTCTACCAAAGCGTGTTATCATTTCATGACTTATTACCTTTCGTGTGCTTCTTGAAATGAATTTACATTCATACTATGTCCATTAAAGACTTGCATGGTCATGGCTCCCTCATAATAAAATTACACTTTATTGACATGAACCAGTAATTTCTGTTGCAGTCGTGAAATATTAGTGTTTAGAGGTCTTGTAACTCTATGTGGAAAAAAATGCGCATTTTTTACGGAATGAAAAAATAATCAGCATTAATCAACACGATAAACCACATAATTAGTGAAACGAAAGTTTTGCTGGAATCAAGTTTTTGCAAATGCTAATTTTTCAAAAAATATTCGGTCAGTTGCGATATTTATTAAAATTTCATGCATTTTATTCAGGTTATAATAAGTAAACTGGACAAAAATAACACTTGATTAATTAAATATCTCTTAATAAGTAAATATTTTTTGATTGTAAACTTCTGTATATAAAATTGTTTTATATTAATTTTTTTTTCTCAACTTTAAATTATTTCAAAAACTATGTTTTGGATTTTTAGGAAATGTAGAAATTATTAACAACAGGATTATGGTACTTTTCAATCAAAAGTTTTTTTTTTCATTTATAAAAATTTCAACGATATTTTGATAATTAATTAACGTACATGAACAACGATTCATAGATAAATTTGTTGGGAAAAAAAAAGTGTTGAAATATGTATCACATGAGAAAGAAAGAAAGAATAAGGAAGACATTGTAATTTTTGCTTCAGTAATTCAATTTGACCAACACAATAGTTTCTATTTGATTTAATGATAAAGTAGAGTAAAATTATTTCAATTAGTAAATCTATAGTAAAATGTAATCACTTTTAACATTGATATGACTGAAAATCCATTCGTCTTCATCACTTAGCGCTTTCCAACATAGATGATATGGAGCTTTACAACCATACATGCGCCATCTATAAAATGAGAACGAAAATTTATTAATCAAAAAAAAAGAATGAATGTATGAAATAATAAATGCGTATTTATTACTATAATTTATTAATATTGCCAATAAGGATTTAAAACTTGAGAACTTACTTGGAAGTACATTTCTCAATTTTCTTAGAAAGAATTTTCCAGAAAGGAACAAGATTCCAATCCTGCCAAAGTACTTGTGCTATCATTTTTTGATACTGATTGTTTAGATCAGTAATGTATTTGCGGAAAATATCCGTTGGATGAAAAATGGAATCATTCAGACTTGTGAAAATCCAATTAGAACGTGCATGATATAATAACCCGTCATTGGTATTTATCTGAAAGCCATTGCATAAAATAGGTAAAAAGGACAAAAACGAAAGTTTTCGTTCCGATTGCTGAGAATAAAGAACGATTAAAATGATAAACAAAAATGTGTTAGTATCGCATTTGCACATATTTGTAAATCTTTCAAACAATTTTCATGTTTTTAATGTCATCTAAAATTAATTTCTTACAGAAAGCTCAAAGTCGAAAAAAATCGAGGGGTAAGTAAGCAGTGCGAACATACTTTGAATGACTTATATGGTTTGAAAAATTCGCGCACTTTATGGGTTACTAAAATTTGCACACGTTCAGGCATGAAAATCGTTTTTGATGGGCCTTCTTGAATTTGAAATTCAGCATTTTTTAGCCAAGCAAAATCAAATTTTCGTTGTAATTTAAATAGAATCCAGCCCTGAAATCGTACTCGAGCATGCTCGAATACGAAACTTCCAGCTGTATCATTTAAATTATGCATTTTGCGTAAAAATGGCAGTAACGTTCCAGAACTAAAATTTAAAACAAAGTTGAGAGAAATAAAAAATTCCAATTCTAGTATTCTTATAGAAGAGTGAAGGAATAACAGAACAATAAATGATGTGAAAATACCAAAATTTATTTTGACAATAACTTATAATTTGGAAGAGAACGGCCAGGAAAGCTAATTGTTAATTACACATACTTTGGAATAATAAATTCATCGATATCGACCAATGCAACATATTTAGCGAATGAACTATGCAAACAGTCATTCATGCTAAGCGTATGACCAAAACGATAAATCCATCGATTTGGGTCAGTCAGTTTTGACCGTGGCAACATTTGCCAACGAATTAACCGAATAATTCCCTGCAAAAGTATAAGTGGAGGAAATAGAGAATGAAAATTGAATGAATTTGTACTGCTGCAATAAAAAATTAGCAAAACAGCCGAGAAAGAGCCTTCAGATAAATCACGAAAATACGGCAGCAATCTAATTAACTTTTATTAAAATTAAATTAAATGAAACGCTCTGCAACGTTCGTTAGTATCAATTTGCAAAGTGATATTCTCAAAATAAAATCAAACATTTCGACCAGAATCAATTTTTTTCGCCTTATTCCTATAATTTATTGAAATTGATATTGAAATTGCTATTGAAACAACTACACTTTTTTTAAATATTTGTACTACAATTTTGTACATATGTATTACAATTTTCTTTTCATTGAATTAATTTACCACTTTTTCATAGATTTTCAAAATATCCATCATATGTCTATTGACCGATACGTAATAAATGTAAAACATTGTAGCACCTTGCTTTCTCCAAATCTTAAAATGAAATTGCTATTGAAATTATATTGAAATTGCTATTGAAACAACTACACTTTTTTAAATATTTGGACTACAATTTTGTACATATGTATTACAATTTTCTTTTCGTTGAATTAATGCATTAATCTGATACATCTAAATGAAAAACGCCTAAATGTTTTTATTAGATCAAAAAGAAAAAATGGGACAGAAGAAATATTTTAGAACTTAAAATAAAAAATAAAATTTGGTTAAAGCAATAAACTAATATATTAGTTTGGTTCAAAATTTGCAACATCAAATTCTAAGAGAGAATAAATTTTTTATCCTAACTAAATGTAATTTTTTATCCTAACTAAAAATGAAAACATAGAAACTGCATACCTCAATGAATTGTATGAATGCAACATAATTCCAGTACCAGTATAGGGGTGGCACACAAACGTGTAAAGTATTTTGGTATTTCCGAGGGAGCAATTGCAACGGGATAGCAACCATTCGATTTCTTTCACTTACCAGTATTTCCTTCTAAATTTTTTAGCAGAAAAATACTTTTAATACTCAATTTTCTTTATCATTTGCAGCATTTATTATTTTTTTATTCTAAGCATACCACAACATTCGTTACATTTCCAACATCAAAGAACATTTTGCGCCAAATCTTATATCCAATAGAAATATAATGCAAAGGAAGAAGAAATTTTTACTCATTTTCACTCAAAATATTTCTAAAAGTAATTTATTTTATAAGTCCAAATTATTTAGAAAAAAATAATAGACTAGGTACAAAATTCATTTACAACAGAATAAATAGATGAATGGATAATCTAATTTAATTTTGACATAAATCTTAACATAAAGATTTTCAAATATTTCCAAATATAATTTATTTTATGTGTTTATAAAATTTAATAACATTTTTAAAAAAATTTAATAAAAAAATTTAAAAAAAGAATAAAAATTAAGATTACAGAAGCACAAAAGAAAAAATCAAAAATTGTGTACATTATGAAAATTCCGCATTGTAAAATACTAACTGTATTGATAGAGAAATTGCTATTTCTCATATTGAAAATGAGCATAAAGGAAAACCATTTACAGTCGGGTACCCATTTCCACGGGCAATCATATTCTATTGTGATATCTTTTGCTGATATACATTGTAAGCCATAATGAAGGATTACATTGATATCGCGACACTGACTGAATGCCAGAATTCGTATTAACGGTTCTTTTCGGCGTAAGTCCAAAAATGCTTTATAGATAAATAAGGTATCATCTGTCACATCTTCTGTGTAATTCATCATTGATGGAATCTTTTGAAATTCCGACTTCATAAACAAATCCCATCTTAATGATGAAAACGTTTCTTGTACAAAATTTAAAATCTGCTTAATGAATATTTGAATTTGATACAGTATCTGACAAGCTTTCGTCATTACATTTTGCTTCCCTTTATCCGAAATTCCGGTTCTGTTTTGAGATGTTACAGTATTTAATTTTACACTTTTTGATAGTTTATCATAAAATGATACATGAGCGAAATGTATTATGCAGCACAAAATCATTAAAGATGTTAGAAATAATGAAACCAAAAATAGTTGGCGAAGTTTTCTGTTAGATCCAAATTGCATGTAAAAATTTCTAATCGATCGAGTGCAAATCGCATTGCTGATTACGAGGCGTCGTTGAGAATTTCGTTGTAACATCAATTAGAATTGCTTAGAACACAGTGAAAGTATGGTTGAAATATGAATCAAATTGATTGATATCACTAAAAAGTTGCTAAGTTTAAGCTTAATTCTATCATTTATCTTATAAATTTGCATAAAACGAGAGAAAATTACCATATGCATAAATTAGCATTTATCACAATATTTTATCGCAATTTAGCATTATGAAAAAAGCAACATCATTTTGAGTGAACAGTCAGTTTTGCAGTGGAACTAATTATTCAATCACTGCATGACACATGCATGCAGTGATTGCGTGCTACTAGCATGCAAACATTAATCGAACAATGTTCGCAAGCTATTTAAATGAATTTGGACGAAATAAAGAAAAGAATAATTTTGGCTACCAATAATTTCTTGCTTCGGATTTAAAAATGAAATTTATTCAAAGCAAATAAACAAATAAATAGAAACACTTACCAAATTAACATATGGAAGCAATAATAAATGGAATGTAAAGATTGGCAGAAACAATTAGCGTATATTTGTGTAATTTCTGTGCAAACATTAAAATGCTTACATAAACACTATAATTAGCATTGTATTTAGCAGATTTCTTCATAGAAATGAATAGCGCATTTTGTTACTCTCCAAAAATAAATAAATAATTTTTTTCTTTTAAAATCCTAAATGATTATATTTAATAGTAACGCGTTTTGGACGGTCTAACAGTGGTCATTAGTATCAATTTGATCATTTGCAATTGATTTAAGTAAAATATTAAACTTAAATAATCAGCTGTGATTTCATTAATGATAATGGGTGATATTTCAGAATGCCTATAACGGAAAAGTAATGAAAAAGAGGGACAAGTAAGAAAACTTTAACAGAAAAGAGGAAAACTATTATAAGAAGTAAAATTTTTTGGTGATATTTAGTGATCATAGCAAAGCTATACTTAATATGCAAATTTTCAAATGATTCATTATGCATACTGCTTGAATCAAATATGTATAAAGCAATATTATTGGTGATAAAATTCTTATAAAATTTTTTTCGCATATTGTTTAAAATGTATTTTTTGATGCATTCCAATTTTTGCATTGATTCATTTATAAATTTTTTACAAAAGCGGAAGTGTAATTATCTTTAACTTCTCAAAACTCAAAACCAAGCATCAATGATTAAATAATTTGCAGCATTTTCTTAATAACGAAAATTTAAATTTGGGTAAAAAATTAATTTTAATTGCAATAATGATTTAAAACTATGACTAATTAAAAATTTAATCAATTTTGCTATTGAAATAATGTTTAAAATTCAATTATTTTTGTTTAATTTATTATTCAAGTTGAAAAATGACTGCACCGAATGTGACCAGTGCCATACAGAGCAATGAAAATAATCAATTAAGTTCAAATTATGTCTTTTTTCTAATTAAATTATATTTTTTAGTAGTTGAAACATTTAACTAAATTGAAATTTGCTAGAACCAGAACTTACTTTTAAGTTCTATATACAAAAACTAATACAAATTGCAGCATTTTCTTAATAATAAAAATGTAAATTTGAATTACAAATTAACTTTATTTGCAAGAATGATTTATTATTTTTGAACTTAATTGATTATGTTTTATGCATTGTACCAGAGCTGGTCATGTATTGTGTGGTCATTTTATAGTTTAAATATTAAAATACGCTTTTGTAATTGAGTTTTGCGTAAAAATTCATCAGCAAAATTAATAAAACTTGCAATTAATCATGGCTTTAATTCAATTTAAGAATTAAATAATATATTCAATTAAGTTCAAAATATTGCTATTTTTTTTTAGTAGATTTGGCACTTGATTAAAATTAAAACTGGTAATTTAGAACAAATTTCCTTGTTTAATGTAAGAAAACAATTACAAATTTTAAAATTTTTAAAGAAATCAAAATTTAAATTTGAAATAAAATCTAATTTAAGTTAATTAAATTTAAAAATGGTAATAGTTATAAATCATTCTTGCGATTAAAATTAAATTTTAATTCGAATATAAATTTTTATTATTAAGAAAATGCTGCAATTTGTATTAGTTCCCTTATATGAAACTTAAAAACAAGTTCTAATATTGGCAAATTTCAATTTAATTAAATGTTTAAGCTGCTAAAAAATATAGTTTAATTAGAAAAAAAGACATAATTTGAACTTAATTGATTATTTTCTATGCTCTGTATGGTCACTGGTCACTTTCGGTGTGGTCATTTTTGAAATAAAATAATTTTAATAATTGATTTTAAGCATTATTTTAGCAGCAAAATTAATTAAATTTTTAAATAGTGATAGTTATAAACCATTCTTGCAATTAAAATTAAATTTTAAATCAAATATAAATTTTTATTATTAGGAAAATGCTGCAGTTTGAATTAGTTCTTTTATATAAAACTTAAAAATTAAAACTTTTAAAATCTGTCGAAATTTCTTAAGTATCCCTATCTGGATTTGTGATTAATTATTTCAAAAATATTTGAAATTAATTGTAAATGCAGATTTGATTAATTTCTGCAATGAAAGTTTTCTTTAAAGTTAACTTTTAAAGTCTAAAGTTACCATAAAATATCAAAAACAGTCAAGCAAATCAAGTTTATAATCTATTTTAAAATTTTATTAATTTTGCTGCTGAAATAATGTTTAAAACTCAATTATTAAAGTTTAATTTATATTTTTTTAAGTTGAAAATTGACCACACCGAGTGTGACCAGTGATCATACAGAGCATAGAAAATAATCAAGTTCAAATTATGTCCTTTTTTCTTATTGAATTATATTTTTTAGTAGCTTAAACATTTAATTCAATTGAAATCTGCCAGAACTTCTTTTTTAGTTTTGTATAAAGGAACTAGTACAAATTGCAGCATTTTCCTAATAATAAAAGTTTAAATTTGAATTGAAATTTAATTTTATTTGCAAAAATGGTTTAAAACTATCACTGTTTTACAAAATACTTTATTCAAATTTAATATGATATCCTTTGATGATTCATTTTTTTTTTGTTTAATTTCTTTTGCATGAAAATATTTCATTACTAATTTAATATTATTTAATCGTATTTATTGGAATAAATTTCATTTTATTTCAATAGATTAAATGAAATCAATGAAATGACTTTATATTGATTTCACATTTTAAATTATAATTTCTTTCTACTAATTAATTAGTTTATAATCAGTTTAAAAAGCAAAATTTCTATGCATTCCAAATTTTCATATAAACCTAACAAATTTAATTAAATTTCTCTTTTTTCCAAGTTATTTTCTTGAGATATAAACCGTAAATTAATCAGAATTTATTTTTTTGTAATTATTAAGATTTAGTTGAAAATACTTTGTATAGATATAATGGACACATTTTGCATCATGTACTATTACTAATCATTATTAATTTTAAAAAACACAAATTTAATAAATATAAATCTTCTTTTTGCTATCTTTCTCTTCCCGTGCAAAAAAAAAGAAAATTAATTGTAGAAGAATGAAAAAGATTAGACGATTAGTTGAGTATTTAATTACTTCCATAAGTTTTGAAGCAAATTTAAATTACAAATTTAATTATTATTACCTTCTTTTTAACAAATCTTATTTATCTATGAATAAAAAATTAGTATATTTCTGTAATCATTGCTCTAAATTAATATTTATTTTAACACATTTGAACATTTCGATATTTTATTTTGTTAGTTTCATTTCCATAACAGAAAAATATGTACAAAAATGGAATGAAATTCAATTTTTTTTTTTGTCTTGTTGTTACTGAAAGTAATTTAGAATGGAATAATTTGAATGATGCAAAATTTTGATAATTAATTTTTTTGCAGATGTAATTTTTATTAGATAATTAATTTTGAATTAGTCGATTAAAAACTTCGATAACTATTTTCTGATGCTAATGCTTTTGTAACAAAAGTAATGGACCTATGCAGTACGCTTCTCCCATCTATCTTAAAAGGTTTTCATTTTCTCATTTATTTTATCACTAATTAACTTTTATTATTTAGTTTATTTATTCAAATATCGTTTACAATCCTAAATTTAATCTATATGTTAATTTAAAATTTTACTAAATACAAATGATTGAAATGAAGATTAATTGATTTTCATGTTCATATAAAGCAATCGTATATTTATTTCATTCAACAATTTGAAAACGTAAATTCTTCATAATGACGTTTATCCGTGACGTTGATACGTTATATACGTGCAGATCACCGTATCATCTTTATCGACCGTATCAGCTTGAAATTCAACGAACAACAATTCCTAACAATTCAGCAGTGCTTCATCGTACACCAAATCTTGATATCTTATCAGAAATTAATCGACGATCTAGACGACTCGAACGTATTGTCTCTTATCAAAAAATTTTAACAGTTATTCAGGTATTTTCGTTTTTTGTTTTGAATTTTTTACAAAAATTTGAATGTAATAAGTTTTACTTTTCGAAAACATTTGTAATAATCTAAGAATTTTATGAGTTAATATGAAAAATTGAAAAAAAAAGAGTCATAAATTATTTTTTTTTTCATAATATATTTGGATTTAACTTTTACTTAAGAAGTATTTTCAATTATTTCGTTTTAAAAATTAGTGATAACTACTTACTTGTTAATTTGAATTTGCCATAACAAGTTGAAAATTAAACTTGAATTTATTACAAATTTTTTTACTTTTTTTTTTTGTTAATTTTTGCAATAAGAAAAGTAAAGACAGAAAATTCAAGTTTTTTTTGATAATAATTTTTCTTAAAATAAAACAGCAAAAAGTTTCATAATTTGAGGCATAAAAAGGAACTAAATTATTAATTATTTGTGTTAATTTATAAATATCAAATGACAGCACATATACGAAGGTTAAATTTTATATGTTATTTTCCAATTAAAATAAATTACAAGAAATAATTTTCGTTTTTATTTCACATTTTTAAAAAAAAAAAAAAGGAACGATTCTTTTAGATGTTACTTTCACTACATTTGATTATAATGGAAATGACAAAAATTTTGTTAATACGGGAGCATTTCAATAATTGGGAACAAAAATTTGTCCTCGTAAGTTTAATCATTCATTTCATTTAAATAGCATTTAAATACTAATAAAATATACTAATTTCTTTAAAAATGTTAAACCTTCTTTAACCTTTTTTTTTTTGAAAGTTAAAGTATTTGCAATTGAAAATTATGTTTATTTTGTTGAAAAGTTAGCGACAGAAAATTTTAGAAAATAATCGAAATAATAGACAGAATTTAGAATGATAATTATTGATAATTTCAGATATGCGAAATGTTTCAACCAATACTTTTTGCTACTATTGCATTTATAACATTTTATAGCGTTTTGCGACCAACAAAAAGTATCACACAAATCGCTATCGCATCACTTGTCGCAACATTAAAACCATTATTCAATGAAATGCTCGTTTAAAAGATAAATTGCATTATTATTATCAATGCAATTCAATTTATATAACTAAGAAAAAAAAATCTGCAGAAATCATTTATAATCCATAAGTTTATATATATATATATATATATATTTTTTTTTTTGATTTTAAATTATTATTGTAAATTCTAATTTTTATTTTTAGTGATAATCAGAATTTTAGCGTAATTTAAATTTAGTGAAACATTTTTTCTATTTTGTTCTTACTAAATTTGAAAATTTTCTTTCACTCTTTTTTTTGATTTGATTTAAAACAAAAGTAGACAAATTCTTTCAGCAAGATTATTTTCTTTTAAAATAAGTTTTATCTCTTAAAATTCACGACTGCTTTTTAATCGAATTTGAAATTTAAATTTTATTAAGTGAGTTTTATAAGAATATACATGTGCAAGCATATACATTAATTTTATTAGTTTTATAATTTTATACATAGTTTTATATGAATATATATTACAAACACAACAGACAATCGCTGCACTAACAAGAAGTAGAGAGAACAATTTCATAAAGTAGAAATGCTTTCCCGAAAATCGTCACCCATCTGATAATAAGGGTTATTGAGGAAAAACTTTTTTTCTCACATTTATGATGTCGTCTTCAACACAATTTTCAATAGAAATAGTAGGCATAAATTTTTTATTTCGTTTAAATCAATCTATTTAGAAAAGTAGAAAAAAAAAAGAAAAACTGTATTTGAAAAAAAGGAAAATGTAACATACTTGCGTAAGTCCGAGGTAGATGGAGACACTTTCACTAACGTATAGGATGATACCATCCAGGTCAACAATAGCCAGAAAACCATCCAAACACTCTAGAAATGCTGCTGCAGACCATAAACATCGATGCTCCTCTGAGATTAGTTTTCAAGACTGCAATTATTTTCATCCCAAAAATTTGAATGATTCAAGTTATTCAAATTCAAGAAAAAAAAAAGATAAAAAATTCAAAATAGGCTCATTAAAAAAACCTGCAGCCTTCAGTCTATAAATTAAAGAAAAAATTTTTTTGAAGTTCCAGATAAGAATCACTATTTGGAATATTTACTGTCACACAAGGTATCCAACAAAGAGATCGAAATTTGAGCATCAAAATTGAAAATCAATATCCAGTAATTTCAAGGAATTCCTTTTCGGCATTTTCAAATGAAGCAAAACAATATGTTGGGAAGATTGATTATTCCCACTAATTCTAACGGCTAGATTCCAATGGTGTTTTTAAATAACTTGCTTGCTTACGCTGAAACTGGCGTGCATTTCAGGTTTTCATAGCTAAAGTTGAAGAAAAATGAATTTGCCTAATATGGGCTTTTTAATTTGAAAAGTTACATAATGCAAGATATCAATAATTCTTGTTAACAAAAAAAAAAAAAAATACATTTCGTTGCAACTTTTCGTAACCGGCAAAGAGTCAATGCAACCCGCAATATAGCAATCCGATCCACATGTGTAACTGTTGCTTCATCAACAATTGGTATCACTACTTTGAGATCCGTAAAGATATCCGCTTCCTTACCACGTCGATCACGTGCAGCAAAACGAGATGACTCACGACGTCGGTCAAGATTTCTAAAAAAAACTAGTGTTTTCGGACGTATACAATGAATGCAAAAACAAATCACCTGATAAATCCCTTCTATTTCGATTCAAAAGATTTCATTCCGACAATATTAGTATAACTTAAAGTAAAATCAATGGTGAAAACAATTTGGTGGTTGGTAATTATTAGTTTTTTTTTTTCTTTTTAATCAATGAACTATGTCAATTTGAAAAGAATGAATAGAATTAGACCTGTGCAATTTATTTTTTTATTATGTGAATTAGAATTACTTCATTGATACAGTCATTAAATTATTAATCATTAAGAATTAACTGATAGATTACCTATTAATTCAGCAATATTATTTCCATCGAAATTTTATTTAACAATTGGAATCATCTTAACAACATATTCTTAAATTATTTCGCATCCGAAGTATTCAACAATTTGTAAGCATAAGTTAACAACTGATAAAGTTCGAATTACTTTGCTGTAATGCTAAGGAACGAACATTGCAGAAAAAAAAAAAAAAAAAAGAAAAAAGAATCCATTCGAACTTGCGACTAACACATCATCGTGTAAAATAATTATCATATAAAATAACAGATCGTATAAAATAATTTTGTCTTGCTGATAAGATCACTTATCAGTGTCATTTGCTTTCTAAAGAAGCAGCTTATTCTCTTTTTTTTTCCTTATTATTTGTCATTTCACCCTTTTCCATCTTGCAATTTCATTTTGTTACTTATATTCAAGTAACACTTAAAGTCATTAGCAATAAATTTTTTGCAACAATTTTATAAACATAATTAATTAATTACTCCGATGGCAAAAACAGCTTAATCTCATCACTCTTCTATGATCGATCATTTTTCATAAAGTTAAATATGCAGTTAAAAGAAAAAATAAACGACAATTGTAATAAAAAAATAAGAATAAAACTTTCCATCTCTTAATTCAACCTATTTGTCACAATAATTTTTCTATCTTTATCATAAAATATCCATCTCTTTGTTACATTCTTCGCAGCACTAATTCATCTCTTATTTTCCTATCATACATCATTCAGGCAGAAGTTGTTAGCTCAATTAAATCTTCTCTCATATTCTTATCTTTCAATAAAAACAGAAAAACCACAAAGATATATCGATATAGAGTAAAGCTAAATTAAAAGTAATCATTATTCATATTTTAAACATTGCACAAAAAATCTTAACAGAAATTGTATTCCTTATATAATATATTTCATATCAAAAATATATTTAAATTATACTTTCTAATTACTGATTAAATAATTATCATGAAATTAATCTCATCCATTATATATTCATAAATGATACAAATCAAAATAATTGATTCAAATTATCAAAAATGAAAAAAAAAATTAATTAGGGATTATATTACACAAATAACAATTCAAAGAGAGAGAGGGGAAGAGAAAGAGAAAGAAAACATAAATTCTGAACCATAAATTATTAGTACAATCTTATCCTTAATTTTTAGCATTTGCATAAGAAAAAAAGGGAGTAAACATAATGAAGAAGCAACAAAACTTTGAAAATCCGCCTTTTCAAGGTGGCATTAATTTCACTAATCGGAATCAGTCGCATGATGCACCTAAACCCACTGCTTAACGATCCTTTGAGGGATCTATTTTGTGTGATTCAATTTACGATAAAGTTATTTCCGCTACTCATAATTCTCTAATTATCTTCCCAATTCTCTGTTTTCTCATCGTCTTTCTCACACCATAAATACACTCTTTTCACTTCACTCATAATTAATTATTTAATTAATTGCTATTTACAATTAATTTTATCTTCTAAGCATTTGGTAAATTCGTTCGAGTATTTTAGCCTATATCATAACAAGTAAAAAGATGTCACCAGCATGTAAGGTAGATTATGAAGGTGGTTTAATAAAAATGTAATGTTAAACAAATAAGTTCAAATGATTTCATAATGTTGATCGAACCTAATCATTAAATTCGCTGTAACTCAAAACAGTATTCACTAAATGAATTAATATCATTTTCAACGTACATGTCTGTACTTAAAATTCATTTTTGCATTTAAAATGAATTGAAAATGATTAGATGGGATCAATTATTTCTGGATTTTATTATTTATTTATTTCAAAAAATTCCTTTCACAATTTTCTGCCATGATAAACAAAGAGATGATACTAACATGAAAAAAAATCATGACCATGAAGATGGCGTATTGCCAGTAAATTCAAAATACTTTTATGACGTTGGTTAATTTTATTTTTGTAACTTCATTAGTATTTTAAAATTTTCATTTTCGTTAAATTTATAGTTTGAACCATTAAGAATAATGTTAACTCCACTAACAAAAAATGATATGATTTTGAATGCATGGATTAATATTTTCTTACGTAATTATGTAAATCACTTAATTGAGGTCAATTTTTTAAAAAAAATTACTTTATTATTTGACATGTAATGACTATCTGATTTTTTAATAATAACTTCGAAAATTGCTAAAACAATAAAAAATGAAATAATTTAAAATAAGATTTAAGAGAAAAAATGCATAGAAATTAAGCATACCGTTGTCTCGAAGACATAAGTTATAGCAGCATCTCACTGAAATGCTTTCTGGTTTGAATAGCATATGGCACTGAATACTGATAGGCTTGCTTAATCGTAAGGAAGCACTGCAATTTATAAACTATATTTAATTATTGTTTATGAGAAAAGTTCACTTTGAAGTCAGGTGAAGAATAAATTGTAATAAATAAATTGGAAATATAATAACAATAAGACACTATAGTAAATTAATAACACTTCTACTAATAGTAATAACAATACTCAACACGCATGCAAGAACAATGTTAATAGAAATGAATGAAGCCAACAAAAAAAGCATGCACTTCAATACAAAAAAAATGCCATAATAACAAATGATATGAGTAAAGATACAAAATGCTGCAGTTAATGGAATTAACCGAAAAATGCATGCAAAAACAATGCTAATAAAAAACGAGTGAAAAATAAAAGCATGCAATAAATACAAAAGAAAAAAGTGTACACCTTAATAATAAATGGTGTAAGTTTACAAAAAACATGCATGTTAATAAAACTAGCCAAGAAACGCATGCAAAAACAATGTTAATAAAAAAACAGCGAATAGCATAAAGTAACAAAAAGCATGCAGTTAATGAAATTAACCAAAAAATGCATGCAAAACAGTGTTAATAAAAAACGAGTGGAAAATAAAAGCATGCAATAAATACAAAAGAAAAAAGTATACATGAGAAAAAGTTACAAAGAGCATGCAATTAATAAAATTAAAAAAAAATACATAAAATTAACCGAAAAATGCATGCAAAAACAAAGTTAATAAAAAACGAGTGGGAACAACGAAAAAATAAAAGCATGCAATAAATGCAAACGAAAAAACGCTTTCATAATAAATGGTGTA